TTTTTCAACAAAATTTTTCTTATTTTCAATAATTATTTAATTTAATTTTCTTTTTAACATACATATTTATTAAAAAGAAAAAAAACACAGCATTTTTTTTCTGGCAGCAAGAAAAATTAATGAAAAATGATGTGTAAATGAAACGATTTTGTACTACCAAATGGGCAAATAGATAAATTCTTAGCAAAATTATATTTTAAAAACTTGAAATTAGTTTTAGCTGCAAATCTTCGCTGATTGATTTTTGCGGCAAAAAATAATTTAAAGTTTTTAATAAATTTAATTTTTCTATTATTTAAAAATAGTCTGAAAAAGTCTCAATTATTTTGATTTTTTTTTTGTAAGTTACGTAATTATTTTTTTTTAACGATTTACAGTTGTCTAATGCTGGGCAAAATGGAAAAAAAAACTAAAGACTCAACATAAAATTTTTTTTTTAGAAAATAAAAGATTTTATTGCTAAAATTTCAAAATACATGCATAAATACTATAATAATTTCTAGCTTAAAATAATTTTATGAAGAAAATAGAGTGGAAAATTCTTTTATTTTAAAGTTTTTTTTTTTAAATTATCCTTTTTATGTAATTTTTTTTTATTTCTTTTAATACTTTTTAATGATTTGTTTTTAGTTTTTAATTTATTACCTCGGTAATAATTTTTCGTTAATATTTATAGCAAGTCCTTAGATTTTTTTTAACATTTGTTAGTTTCTACACATTTGATTAATATTTTTAAACACTTTTGATTTTTTCAAACTTTTGTAACCTTTTTTTAATATTTTTTTTTGATTTCCTTTAAACTATTATGTATTTTTTATTTATTTCTATTTTTTTGTTTAAGTTACAAAATTCTTTACCTATTCAATTTTCATTCTAATTTTTAGTTTTTTTTAATTTTATTACATTTTTTTGGAATTTCTATATTTTTTTTTTATTTTTTTGATTAATTTTAATACCATTTTGTATTTCTTATTTGTGTTTAAATTTCTTATTTAATTTTCTCAATTAGTAATTTATTTTCTATTCTTGTTTATGCCTTCAAATTTTTTAATTGCTTTAATGTTTTTAATTTCTTTACATTATTTTTGATTTTTCCTATTTTTAACTTACTTTACTTATTTTTTGCATTTTTTTTTATTTTTCCTTTCTTATCATTTTTTATTTATATATATAAGTATTATATATATAAGTATTTCATATACATATGCATATACATATTTTTTTCTCTAATTTTCATTTTTTATTGTCTAATTATGTTTAATATTGGAACTTTTGTTTATTAATTTTCTCCAATTATAATTTAATTCTTTAATTTGCTTGCATACGACCCACTGTGCCTTTACAACAGCCGTTGCATGCTAGTAATTATTCTAACCATTCGACTTGAAATAAATATGTATATTTATATTGTATATATATGTTTATAATACATATTTAACTAGGTATGTGAGTATACACACAAACATACATATTTGGAAAAACCTCCATACACAAGGCAAAAAAATGTCTGCAAGAAAAGCGGAGAACGCTAACGCGAACACACAACAGCCGAAGGAAGGCGTGCAACATCTGCATACCGATGGGGGAGTCGAAAAATATGCATATGCGCCTAACTAAAGCATATATAGATGCAAGGGGCATACATACTAGCAGCTAGGGAGTAGAGCAAAAACAACAACATACCTACTAGCAAGTGAGTAGAAAATAACAACAACTACAATTAATTTTTTTTTGTCTAAGCCGATTAACTAGCCTCTGTGAACAAAGCTTTTTTTTATCAAAAAAAAAAAAAAAAAAAAAACGGAAGAAAAAACATCAAAAAACAGACCAAAAATATGTTTAGCGAAAAATATGTGCAAAAGATTTGCAAATGAAATTTGTTTCTGCTCTAAAAAGCAGACGCAGACAAGCCGTGCCTACTACTTGCATACATACAAATGTATATCTTTCCTCCCAGAAAACTAATGTTGCTGCAATCGAAAATAGTTTTCATGCAAACGAGCGAGTAACTTGCAACAGCATAATGCCGCCGCAAACATTCCGCATATATGTACATACATAAGTATTTAAGTATATATGTAATTATGTACCTACTCATAAATAGTTAAATGCTAAATACTCACTTATCTTCATACATATCTATATACACACATACATATGTATTATAGTAGCATACCATGAGAAAATTGAAAATGAAAGGTGGTGTTGTTAATTGCAAAGTTATTTACTTGCAACCGGCAAGCGTACACATTGTTGCAATAAGAACAAACAAAAAAACATAAAAATATTTTATGTATATATGTTTGCTTGAATGTAAATAGAAGTCTTTCATTCTTTAGCTTCACAATTTGCAAGCAATTGAGTGATTTCGCTTCTTTAGCTTCCTTTAGTGGCCCGGAAAACGACACTTAGAGCACCCTGTGTTTGCTGGCTCGTTCGTTTGGTATGTCTGGATTATTATGATAATTGCGTGCGAAATTGTAATTCTCTTTATACAAACGAATTCACCTTGAACTTTTCCACAAATTCTTTCAAAGCTGTAATTAGAATTTTCATGAAAAGCAAAAGGTATCAATGTGAGTTTCACGTGAAGTCTTTGTGAGCAATTAAGCCATGAATAAAACATGATTAATTCGTAATCGATCAATCGAGTAGTGAATTTTAAAAATTTATTTTTTTTCCATTATTTATTTTCTTTTTTGAAAAATTTATATAAAGAATTGAATAATATCTAAAAAAAAATTGAAAATATAACGGAACTAATGATAATAAAAAATATAGTATTACGACATGAAAATTGGCAACGTTGCGTTGACAATAAAGGCTTATGGACTTGAGGAACACACAAATTACAGCCAAAATACTACTGAGTATTATTATCAATTTCAGAGATGATAATTTAAATCATATTCTAATAATGAACTAATGAAGTTATAAATAAAAAATATGATAAAATTAAATTTTATATAAGCTTTTCGGATGTGGAACACCAAATGGCAAATTAATTAGTATTAAATATTTTATTCTTTAAGTCACATCAATAACAAGAATCATACTGACTAAAATAATGCAGAATTTGAGAATTAATAATACAAAAAAAAGCAGCAAATACAGAGCACTATCATTGAACATGACAAAAAGCTTATCAGAAATTGTCTCAAAGTGAAACAAAAAGTCGTAAAAGTATTTACAATGGCGATTTTTAGTTTTTTTTGCATTGTTTTGGGTTTCTTCGTTTTTAGATAGCTTTGTATGTTTTTATTTAGTTCATTTTGTACTGCAAAATTATACTGCATAATTTCTTAATTTAAAATTTGATTTTAATTATTTTTATTAGATTCTAATTTTATTTAACGTTTTTTAATACAATATATACCAATATATTTTTGAAATATATTTTACTTTTTTCTAATTAATCGAAATTATTTTTTTGTTTATTTTGATCTAATTAACATTAACTTAATCATATAACAATTAATTTATTTAATTTAATTTTTTTTCATTATTTTAAATTATTTTAAGTTATTTTATTTAAATTTTTTCTTTCCTTTTTTACTTTAATTTTTTTATTTTCTTTATTTTTGTTTTAATTAAGTTAATACAATTTTATTTTATCGAATTTTATTTTACCCTAGTATTTCATTTTACTTATATCTTTATATTTCTTATTTTCGTTTTTATTTTTATTTTTTTTTATTCGTTTGATTTAACATACTTTTCCTGTTTTATTTAATTTAATTTATTTATTTATCTCATTTTTTAATATTTTTATTTTTTTTTACTGTAGTTTGATTTTTTTTTAATTTTATTAATTTTTTAAGCTATTTATTTCCTAGCACCTTTTTTAAGATTTGATTATTATTATTTCATTTAAATCGTTTTTCTATTTTATTAATTTTTTATTTTTATTTATTTAATCTAGTTTTGCACCATATTAATTTTATTTGACTTTATTATTTTATTTATTTTCTAACTTCTTATATATTTTTTAAGGTATGATCTTTTCTTATTATATTATATTTAATTAAATTGTATCCTTTTTATATATTTTACTTTTAAATTGCATTGATATTTTAATTTATTTTATTTTTATCCATTTAAATTTTTTTATTTATACTTTATTTAACATAATTTAAACTATTTAATTGTTTTAATTTAATTTAGTTTAATCTTATTTTAATTTAGTTGGTTTTGTTTCATTTTATTTTATTTTATTATTTTTCAGTTTGCATTGCTTAATTCAATTTCTTCTAATTTAACTTCATTTTACGCCAGCCGAAAGCGTACCATAGTTTATATAATAAGATTTGTTATAATAATAAGATAAAAAAATTCATTTTTCCATTTTTTGTTTTTCACTTTATTGTATTATATTTAATTTTAGTACTTATATTTTTAAGTTTGTTCTACAATATTTTTTTACTCTTCTTGCTTTTCTATTTCGTTTAATTTATTTAATTTAATTTTAAATTATTTTTCTGCAAATAATTTTACTTTATTTCATTTAATTTTATATTTATTTTTTTAAGTTTTTTACCTTTTTTTGATTATTCCCAATTTTCTATTTTTTTAATTTAGTTTTATTCATTTTATATATTTTTTATTCTATAATTTGTTTAATTTTTTTTATTATTTTTTATTTCGTATTATTTTATTTTGCTAATTTATATAATTTAATTATTTATTTTTTAATTGAATTTCATTTTGTATTATTTTACTCTTCTAGTTTATATCATTTGTTTATTGGGTTTTTATTTTATATTTTTCATTTTATTAAACAATTTTTTTAATTATATATTCTTTTTCCATTTAATATTTTATTATGTTAGTCTATATTTGTTATTAAGTTTGAACCATTTTTTTATTTTATATTTGCTTATTTTCTTTTAATTTTTAATTTAATTTGAATTTTTTTATTTTATTTGTTTTTGGTTTACCTTCTAATTTTCTTTTTTTTTGTGATTTATCCATACATTTTTTTTGAACATCTTTTCACTTACCTTTTCGCTTCTGACATAATTCGCTGGGAATTTAGGCGATAGCGAGAGCGACGACACCGAGAACGCCGAATGCAACGCCGACGATGCAGCAGCAGAGTTGCCGAAGTTGGCAAAATTGCCCACACTGCCGTAGATGGGCGGTGTGCACGGGCTGGAGGGTGGCGTATGCGTAGAGCAGAGGTGCGGCAAAGAAGGTGCACGTATGCGTGTATGCATTTTTACGCAGTAATGGCGAAAACAGGAAAGCAAATGACGAAAAGAACACACACACACACACTCAATTTAAGCACTTTTAATTGATATATTTACAACAACAAGAAGATTCATATATAAATTTCTTACAGCGCACGTTGTGAAGGTGAATTTGATTTTGAATTTTAAGCTGTTATCTACGCCTCTCTTCCGTTCACTTTCTAAACACAACATTCATTGCGGCTGCACTTGTACGCGACGACAGCGCGACGTTGAGGGCCAGCGGCGATTGTGAATAGCGCTTTTTAATTGATGGCATTCATGCGCACTTTGATAGCTAACAATGCACACGATGGACACGAAAGAGGCGAGCGCGCGGCGGCAAATGCGTAGGTCAGTATAAGCGAAGACATTAAAAAAGCTCGCCGTTTGAACAGCGCGCGTTCGTAGTAGCGACTGTCTGTTGGATCGGTAGGCTGGTCAGCAGTCGGCCGTAAGTAGTGGCTTGGTGGCGGAGGATGTGCGAGAGGCAGAAGGCATTGTTATAGAACAGCTAAGAAGACGACTCTATGCTTGAGCCACGAGCACTATACAGTTGATATACGTGTATGTATGTAAGGCATTTCGTAGCGGTCTTGCGAGTTTAACAGGTAAATTTGCGTAGTACAAAAAAATTATTTCACTATTTTAACGTTTTTTTTAGCATTTACATTTTTTTTTAGTCACGGAGAGACTGAAAAAAAAAACAAATAGAAAACACAATAACAAACAAATTAGGCACACACAGTAGACCACAACAAAAACAATGAACGGAATCGTTAAATTCTAACTACGCGAACCGTGAAATGCACCCCTGTGTACCGCACCGCATCACCATTCGCGTGCTGGTTGTTGTTGTTGTTGTTGCTATTGCTATTGTTATGAGGTAATGTCAATTAGAAATTAACGCCGGACACGATCCGCAGCGTAGTGATGTCTATCAGGTTATTATTATTACGAGTGTACATATATATGCATTTTTATTATTATTTTCATTATTTCTACCTCCAATCTAGCGGTAGTTGCTTTCGATCCCAGCACCGTGGCTTATCAGTAATTGAATATTGCGGCTGTCATGCGCATAGGGGGGTTTTTGAATGCGGGCAACTACACCCCACGGCGACCACTGCATGCAAATTAAATTTGAAGAAAAATATATATTTTTTTTGTTTTTGTTTTCATTTTTCATCTTACTCCACATTTTTCATTACGATTTTTTAAATTTATTTTTCATTTTATTTTACTCACAGGAAAAATTGTGCCAAATGGAGAGATAAATAATAATAGAAATAATTAGCAAAGTATAGAAGTGAATGGTTAAAGAATGACAGGTAAGGTGAGGTAGACAACAACAAAACAGAAATATAAAAATATTACAAACTCAAATTAACAAGCGCACAATAAGCTAGCGATATCAACGAAAGGCGAAAGAGTGATAAAAAGAAGAGGTAGGCAAAATAGTGAAGAGGCACAATGCGATAAGCGCTAAATTTTTGCCAGCAGAATTGTAGGTAAATATTATATATGTGTGTATGAAAATATATAACTATATATATATATGAAATCAGAGGTGCGATATTGTATAATATGTATTGTATGTATTCATTCAATAAGTGACACGAGCAGAGCGCTAATAAACAGAACTCTGTCTTAGAAGAGTGTTAGTCACTCAAATATATTTCAAATATCAAATTATTAGGGATGTTCTAAATTAGCTTTTATAAACAATTACAACCATTTTTTTGAATTTATCTCACAAAATCATACTTCAACAACTGAGTCTATGAGAAAGCGACAATAGCTTCCAAGAAGCATATGAAATCGTTCTTTATCTCGTTTTATTACAACTTGAACGAACGGTTTATCAGTCATCTGTTTGGGGCTTAAAAAAATGCTGAAAGAAATAGATCAAAAATAATGGCGCTCTAAGTGGTCGCGATATGTTCCTCTTAACGATTCGCTAGATAACTCTGCAGTCAAAAAACCTGCAAAGCGTTAATAAAGTAAGACAGTAAGTAAGAAGCTTCATTCAGGGTCTAAGAGAGACAGTAATTTCTTTTGCAACTCTAGACCTTAGACCTAAACGATCTTGGTCGGGTTTCAGCGTTCGAGCAAAGCCAACAACTGACTTTTGTTAAGAAACAGTTCGGATTTGTACCAGTCTTTAAAATCAATAATCCACTCACTCACTTGAACATCATTCAGTAGCAGCTTGTCAGCCGGAGAGTTCTCTAGCAACTTATTTTTCATAAATTTCTTTAATTTTTCTCTCCCAGAGCTGTACGCACGCTTGAGGCTATCTTTAATACTTTCTTTTTATCAATACTTCTTAGCGTTTTCGTTTTTTAATTTACTTGAACCAAAATATTTGAATTTTTTCTCGCAACTTTAAACTGCGTAGGTTTGGTCGCAACCTGACTTTGTCCTAATCTGAATTGAATTGTGGAGAAAAGGATGTGAGGTATGTACCCTATGGATCTATGCGTCCCAGCATGACATCTCCATCCGGATGATCGCCGCGAAGGTTTACCTCACAAAGATTTCTTCTCAGTTTTTTTTCTTTGTTTCGCTGGAACATTTTAAGAATGGTCTCTATCGCATTCCATCCACTGAGCTGTTGCCTGCGAGGTCTTCGTCAAGCTTTATGGCCAGTTAAATTCTCTCTGAAGACGGCGTCAAATGAGACCCATTAGCAGCTCCCTCCACCAGTGATGGCATAATTAAGGGGACAGTTCGCCTGCTGTTGTTGCGCAGCATCTTACTGCTTCTAGTGGTTATTGAAATCTTACGATAAGCCACTTAGCATTGCGGAGACGTTTTCAGCCTCTAACTTCTTTACGGGACAGCCACACTACATCTTTTTGGGGTTCGCAGTTTGGTCGGTGTGAGTTTTGTGCGTCAAGCATTTGCCAACCCTTATGCGACGGGTTTATCTACTTTAAACTTGCTGCCAAGGCGGCCATATTTTTAGAGAGATTAACTGTTGTCAACCTCCTCCCTCTAGAAATGCTTACTGGATCGGCTTTTGTCTTTTTTGTAAGATCTTTCGAAGATTTGCATTTCTTTCGGAAGGGATATTTAAACCCGTTGTAATTGTTACTAAGTAAGGGTATGAAAATAGATCTAGTGCAGAATAGTATGTAGACAACGTCGTTCACTCTAGGCTCATTAAACCTCAACACCGTTACGAAAATATAATATTCTGTAGAAATTTTAGAGCTAATGTAGGTCAGATTAGGAAAACTTCATTGAAACCTCTTCTGTTTCCGGGAAGAGGCATTCCGATGAATATGAATATAGTGCTCTCCCTTTCTCTTCTAATTGGTTCAAAGGAATAGCAAACAGTTAGAAAAATATGAGCATCATCCTCGTTGCTCCAAACTCTCTTCACCTTTTAAGTGTTGAAAATACTTATGATATTCAATCCATTGAGTAGAGATATGACTGTGTGTCGTAAACGATTTCCGGCAGATGACGCTGGTGAAAGAATTGCAAAAAATGGACGAAGCTAAATATGACGTTTGCATTGAAATATTGCAAAAAAAAAATTCTGCTTTCAAAATTGAAAAAAAAAATTAAAACATTTTGTGGTGAATGCAAACAAAAAAAAAAGTTCTGCACAACTAAAGCACTGATGTCCGTATTAATATTGATTTGGCAGCGGAAGCGGGTTCTAAAAACTTCTCTAAAAGAACAAAAGCGAACTTTTGTCAAGCCCGCAGACTATGACGTATTCTAATCATTAAATGTTTTTCAAGTACACAGTCGTTCATTATCACTCTGCTTTAATTAGAAATTAAAAAAAAAAGAAAAAGATTTTTTGTGTACACTTTTTAGTAATCAATTCGCACTTGAATGAGCACTGACGACATCGATTCGAGCTTTTATTTAGTATTTTTTTTCTGAGGAATCACTGATGTTTTCTCGCTAGATTTTTGCTACTATTTATGTATTATCAGCTTACAATTTAAATGAACTTGCACTTTCTTTGACTTGGGAGGGTTCAGTTTACAGCAACATACATAAAAAATTAATAATAATCTATTCCCCATTTCATTATTGATTATTTGAAAAACTAAAAATGAAAAAATTGTCATGCGCGATGCCATTTAATCTAGTGACTTTCGCAAACAATTGTAAACATCGCTTTATTTTTTATTTTTATTTTTTCTGTTTTCTAAAGAAAATTTAATGTACAATAGATGTTTTCACAATTTCTTTATCAATGCTCATAAGTGATAAAAAAAAAACATTTAATTTCTTTTTAGCCGTTATTCGCTGCTGCTTTATTACCGACATTAAATAAACAAAAAACAAAAAAAAAAAAAAAAAAAAAAAACATGTTGGAAAAAGAGCGAAAAATGATAAGCAAAATTCAAACATACACATAAAATAAATCATTGAGACACCATGACCTTCAGATGTATGTATGTGCGTATATAGGTACACAAATTTATATGCCAAATCGTTTGGGTTGATTAAACTGAAAGTTTTTATTATAGTTTGAGTCGTTTTCTTGGCAAATTTGGTATTTTTATGATGGTGAACCGCCTTTTATGTTTTTTTTTTCTTTTTTCCTCTGTACTTTGATACCTCGATTTTGATACTAAAAAAGTTTCAATCTTAAATAAGGAAAAAAACTGCACAAAAAATTAATAAAAATAAATTTAAACATACAAATTAAGAAAAAAAAATACAAAACAATTAAAAAAATGCACAAAAAATTTATAAAAATAAATTTAAATATATAAATAAAGAAAAAAATACAAAATAATTAAAAAACAAAAAAAAATTAAAAAAGAAATAAATATAAAAAGCAAATAAAAATTAAAAAAAAGTTAATAGAACTAACAAACAAAAAACTAATAAACACTAATTGAAATAAAAAAAAAAACAAGCGAAAAAAACTTAAAAAGGTTAAACAATGTTGGAAATCAACAAAAGAGGCTTTGTATTTTTTTTACTCATGAAAGAGTACACATTGAAATAAATGTTCATTCGTTCGCAAAAATTAATCGAATCGGTTTCATTATTTCCACTAAATAAAACTTATAAAAAATAAATCAAATAAATAAGCAAAAAACATAATTACCACAATTAAAAAAATAATTATAATAAATAAATTAAATTAAACAAAAAAGTTACAATTAAAATAAAAAAATTAAAAAAATATTTAAAATAAAAATAATAAAAAACCAATTAAAACCAGTAAAAAAAAATTAACTAAAAAAAAATTTAAACACAAAATTATAGATCTATATAAAATTAATATGAAACCCAAAAAAATAGATAAATTAAAAAATAGAATTAAATAAAAAAATAAAAATAAATATAACTAAAAAAAAAAATAAATATAAACAATAAAAAATATATATAAAATATAAAAAAGAATTAAAAAAATTAAAAAATAAAAAATAAGTAAAAAAAGTAAAAATAAATATAAGTTAATTTTCTTAAAAATTGATTATAAAAAATAATATAAAAATAAATATGAATAAAAATAAATATAAAAAATGTAAAAGAAATATATAAAAATAGAGTTTTAAAGAACTTCTTAAAAAAATTAGCAAAGATTAAAAACCCTGTAAAACGAATAACAAAAACTAAATAACAAAATATATTAGTTAAACAATTTAAAATAAAATAAAATAAAAAATAAGTAAAAACCAAAAATATAAAATAAAATAAAAAATA